CTCAGTAAGCCGGCGTCAACTAGTCGTGTGGCCGGCAAAGGCTTGTCCACAAAATGGTCGTCATACTATAACGCTGGTGGGCGAAAGGAGAGAAAGACCAGCTCGGAAAGCCAGTCGCACAAGGTTCAAGAACTCAAGGCACAAGTGGCGCGGATTCCGAAGATGGTCTAAGAGCAAGTGCAACAAAAACTAGGAGCGATGCTCACCGCCATTGTGTCTACCTTGATTCACGGGCTGCAGACGTGGATTGCGGGCGGCCAACAGGGGCCGCCCCCGGTTCCCGGCTTCACGGCCAGCAACTCGCACAACGCGCAGGCGGCGTCATTGGTGTCTCTGGCGGAGGCGGTATTGGTGTCTCCGGCGCCGGCACGGGCATTGGAGCTTAATGCACCCGGGTGTACGCCGGTCGGCACCTCGGCAGCAAGCGGCCCCTCCGTCAGTTGCACGCCCGCCGTTGGCGGTGCCTCAACATTAGCCGAGCTCGACGCCATCACGGTAACTAAGCCTCTTGGCCGATGACTTCATCTCCTTGCCTTTGGCTGGGCATCCCTGATGCCCTACATGTTTTCGCAGGGCGCCGCCGACGTTCCATGCACTCTCCTGCACTTCGTGGGCGGTGATTTGATCGATGTCGCCAAGGGCAGAATCGTTCAACCGGGCAACCCCGTGTTCCATGGTAATCTGATGCCACCCAGCGTGTATAGGGTTGAACTGGTTCGGGTGCTGCCAGGCTGCGACGAGTTGTTACCTCCAATTCGACCCGCTGGGGCCGACGAAGATGATGTGATGACCCTCAGCGCATGCGTAAGCTGGCCCCTCCTTTGGCCGAAGAGCCAGATTCATTTGGGGGCGGGGGACACCACCCCACAGACAACACCGCCGGTCGTGCCGGCGCCAAGCCATGGCAAGACCGCCGCAACGCTATCGGACATGCCGGACATCCCTATGGCAAAGGATCCGGACATGCATATGGCACAGGATCCGGACAGCGACGACAACGACGACGGTACATTTACCAACGTCGATAGTACTTTGTCGAACATGGGTAAGGTGACGAATTCTTCGGGCCTCCTTCTCAAGAACCCAACCCTGAAAAAGACGACCGCGATCTAGCTGGTACCGCGGAGAAACCCAATTGCAACAGGCGTTGTCTAGCATTCAGTTCTCAGGAGACGCCTCCAGCTGCCGCCTTCACCGAGCCTCAGATAGCCGAGGTGCGAAATATTATCAGCCCCAACACACTCAAGAAGGCGGTCTCTGAGCAGAACTCGATCCCATTATAGCAGCAGAAGAAGAAGGGACGGAAATAAAAGAATAACAAGGGCGGTGCGAGCCAACCGGCACCGAGTACGATCCGTGCTCAGGACGGGTCACCTTCACCTAAGGATATCTCGAGGAGGGTGCATGTGGCGGGTAGGCCGATGCTACCGACTAATCTGCTCAATGCTACAACCGGTGCTATGCGGAGTCTGCATGACAGTGTTCTTTCTTTGGAGAAGCGGCGTCTCTCCGAGAATGATGTGGCATACCCGGTTTTCGTGGCCGAGGTGCTAGAGGGCAAGGGCTTTGTGGATAGCGCCATCGGGGGTACGATCGTCCTGCGGTTTGATGACATCTTCGCTATGTTTAACCTTCATCCGCTACACTACACCTTCATTCGGCTATTTTTGCTGAGTATGGAGATGTGGATCATTAGAGACAAGACCCCGGACATCGTGATAGTCGACCCCTTCTACATGCGTGCCAAGATATTGGGCAGCGCTGGGGACCGGCAAGTCACGAGTTCACACTCGAAGGCGTCATTCTGGCAAACCCAGATAAGGATAACTTCCTTGTGCCATACTTTCCCGAGTAAGTCATCCCCTCACCGCCCCGTAACATATGATTTCTTAGATTTCGATTGTTCTTTTTTTTCTAACATTTCGTGTTTTGTGCAGTGGCACACATTGCACACTCATACTCTTATGCCCAAAATATTCCATGGCCACGTATTTCGACTCGGACCGTCAGTCGAAGAAAGACTACACAAATATCAAGAAAGTTCTTGATGATGTTCTCCCCGGCTACGCCAGATCTGGAGGCACCTTCAGCAGGACAATTCGTAGGTACGGCAAGCACGTGTTCACCCACAATACGACGTTCCCCTGCGTCAAGCAGCCGTCTGGCAGTCAGAAAGATGCATACTACGCCCTCCATCACATGCGGGCGATCGTACGGGACCATAATCACCTTCTGCTACCAAATAATCTCAAAGATTGGGCCACACGCTTGTCGGCAATCCAGGACGCGGACATCAGACAAGAATTCTATCGCATCTAGTCGGAGTTTGCGGAAATCATCCATCAAGATGTTCTTCGTACCTCGGGCAGTTCTACCTTAGATATCAACCGTCCAACAGTGAGACAGAAACAACGCTACAATTGCAGGCTGACAACGCCCGCAATTTCAGGACCATCACGAAAGACGGAGGCTTCATCCACGCTCCGGTCCCTGAGTCGAGTCGAAAGTAGTGATGCCATGTAGTTCTGAAATGTCGATTGACTCATGTTGTAATATTAAACTTTAATGAACTTGTATGTCTCTTTGGTTTGGACAGTCGTTCAACTTATATGCAATCGATGCTATTTATTAGTAGGATCATGGATCGTGCTATTAATGTGTTGCTTTTCTCTTCCGATCCTTTTGTTGCATACTTATATATTGCTTATGTATTGTCTGTGAATTGCTACTAACGTTTTGTTTGGCTAGTGCATAGAGATGCCGTTGTATGTCGTGTACAAGGGTAAGGTTCCCGGAATCTACGACGACTGGGAGGAGTGTCGGAGATAGGTTCACCGTTTCAGCGGTAACAGTTACAAAGGGTACACCACTAGGGTGGAGGCGGAAATTAGATACGCGCGCTATCTAGCGGGAGAGAGGAGGGAGCGTTGGAGGAACCGGATGAAGACCAGTTTCATCGCGATTATGCTCATCGTGATGACCGCAGCTCTCTTCTATGTGATGGTAGTTTAGATGATCGATATCGACTTGTAGTGTGAAGACAAACTCGCTACTCGCGGTCTCGAGACTTGTAATGTTCTAACTTTGTTCGGTATTTTAAATTGGGAGACTAATATGATGAATTGTATTCAAAGACTAATCTTCTATTGTATTCGATAAATCTGTTGTTTATATATTGTGTTGTCTATATTCTGTGCAGTAATATGTTTTGTAACCTTGCAAATATAAGAAAAGAAAGAAAAAAATCCATAATATTCATACTACTGGCGCACTACCCAGCACTTTAGTGGCGCACTGCAAAAAACACAATAGTGGCGCATCATCAACAAGTGCGTCATTAGTAAGCCAGAGCACATGGGTAAATATGGCCCTCTAGGAGGCATACTAATGACGCACCGTGTGATATACTAATGGCGTACTCCCTGGTGCGTCATTAATATTAATTACTAATGGCGTGATGCTAGTGCCGCACCTGTAGTGCGCCATTAGTAGCCAAAACAGGTGCGTCATTAGCGGGCCTTTTTCTAGTAGTGGGCGGCGAAACGAGCAGCCCGCCTCGCCTAGATCTGCTCCGGCAGACCCTCTGCTCCGGAGTGAGCATGGCTTAGGTGGTGATCCGATGCTTCGACATCGCAAGCGGCGGATGGAAATGAAAATGCCAGAGGAGGAGAGGAGAAAAAGAAAGAAACGAGGCTGGCCAGAGTTCTGCCGCCGCCATCTGGCTTAAATAGCCGGATTCCTTCTTCCTCAGACGGCATGCTAGAGCGACGTCACACGGCGCGAAGCGGAGGAGGCGCCTGTCGAACCAGGGGTCTCTCTGCATCCCCACATGGGCTCTATCCGTCGGTTCTATGTGACAGGTGTGCCTGCACCTTCCCATATCCGTATCAGATATGAGTCGAATATGACTGTCGGTCAGTCCGACCGATTGCCCCGGCTATGGAAAGCCCTGTTGGTCGGCCAAAACTCGTTCGGGAACTGCCAGACCACACAGTCCCGTCTGGGTGTTTCGGTGTCGGTATGACACCATCGAGTTGGAGATGCTCTAATTTACTCTTTGGTTGGCTTTGGGCTTTCAGCAGCCGAAGGCTCCTCCGTTTTTTTTTCTTTTTTCTTTTTGCGGGGATGGCTCCTCCGTTCTTTGCCTTTCCCTGTCTCCCTCTGCTTTTGCTGCCTCTTTTCTCACCACCAGCGCACCGCACCGCACCGCGCCACGCCTTTGGCTTTGGTTCTTCCCCACCCGCCCACTTAACTCCTAAGCAAACGCTCCTCCTCCCCGCCTATAAATTGCGTCCCTCGTCCAAGCCCCAATTCCCTTTTCCCTCTTTCTCTTTTCCCCTCTCTGGAAGGACTTGGATTCCTTCTTTTCTCGCAGCAGCAACGCCACGCTGCTGCTCTTACTTCCTGTTGACCACAACCACCCTGCTCCCACCTTTCAAGTTTGAACCCTCTTTGCTTGGCATCTACCACCTTTAGTTCCCTGTGGCTTGGAGATTCTGTGTGAAAGTATTTTATCATACAAGATCTACCATCTAGCTTAGTACTACTCTCTTGGAATCCTTGCGACGAAACCTAGCTGTTCAGGGCGACACTCTGCTGAAATTTCCAGTCAGAAACCCCCTTGTTCAGGCCGTCGCTCTGCCGAAATTTCCTGTCTGAAAACCTTGCAATCAAGGGCAACACCCTGCTCAAATATTTTCCCTGAGAATTCTCCCTTGGTCAGGAGAAACTCTGTCCGATTTCACAGTAAGAAACCTTGGTTTTTGAGGGGAGACTCTGCCGAATTTTTCTCTTGACCAGCTCTGCTTGTATGCCGCTGCTTTTATGATAACATCCACTGTCCTCGTCCAGTCCTTCTCCGTCGTCTTCCTCTACTGGTTCTACGTCTTCTCATAATCAACCAACCCGGTTAAACCAGAGAGTTCACCTGCTTATTGTATATTGTTTTAAATATTTGTTCGTGTAAGAAACAAAGTAAAGTAATCAAGTGGTGTAAGGAAATGGCCTCTCCTGATCCCGTCACGTCGTCGTTGGCCGGCTCGGAGGCGACACGGGCGCCGCCTGCGGCGCTGACCGAGGAGAGGAAGCGGAAGCGCAAGGAGTCGAACCGGCTGTCCGCGCAGCGGTCGCGCGCGCGCAAGCTGCTGCAGGTGGACGAGCTGGAGGCGGAGGCGGCAGCACTGCGCGCCCGGAACTGCGCCGTGGCAGCGGCGGCACAGGAGGCCGCGCGCCGGTGCGCGGTCGTCCAGGCCGAGAACGAGCTCCTGCATGCGCGGGCGCTGGAGCTGGGCGCGCGCCTCGAGTCGCTCGCCGAGCTGATCCAGTACATCGACGCGGCCGCCGCCATGGGTGCTTCCTCCATCCCGCTCGCCGGCGTCAACGGCACCGCCTTGCCCCAGCAGCCGATCCTGCAAACGGAGTTGTACTGCAACTACTCCTACTACTGCTAGCAGATCGCATCATGCTGGTTCCGTGCAGCTCTGTGTTGTCGATGCGTCTAGTAGTAGTATGTGCTTATGCTTTTCCTCCCAAGTAGAGTAGTGCTATTGGGTGGGCAGGGGCAAGGAAATTAAAGAGTGGCTGTACCTGTTTCGACTGACTTTATAGTGTGACATCGACGGAGACGACAATGTGTGTGGTTTATTGGATGCCCTCGTGGAACAAGCAACGCTATGTGATGTGTATTATTTTTCCTAAAGCTGTTATCACATCGCCTATCACTCTCCAAGGGAGAAAAGAGTAATAAGAGCAACTCCAACGGGCCGACTTAAACGGACAACGTTTTTGTCCGCTTTTTGTCCGTTTGGGTCGGCCGCCCACCCGGCGTTCGTCCTTTTTTAGATTTGGGTTGGCAGTGCGTCCAACGCGCCGACCCATTTCATGACCACGTGCGTTTTAGATCATGCCAGCTCCCTCCATACTCAGTCTGCCGCCCACTCATCTCGCCCCCACTCACTAGCCTCGCCGCCTCTGCGCCACCATGTCGATGAGCCGCCTCGGGGTTTCGGATTTTCGCGGAGTCCGCGAGCGCCGCTCCGTCGCCTTCTCCTCCGAGATCTTGTTTGGCGAGAAACGCCTCATCCTCGGCACCTGCGACACCGCAGAGGAGGCGGCCCGCGTGTACGACGCGGCTGCGTGGCGCCTCCGGCGGCCTTGTCGGGAGATGAATTTTCCCGACGTGTCGAGCCAGCGGGTGCAGGATCTCGCGCCTCTCCCGCGGCTTTTCACCGACGAGGATCGTCGTGTCCACCGTAGGCGGCAGCGTCGCCTCGCCATCGCTGAGATGGACGTGGAAGCCATGGTGGTGTGGCACGAACGCTTCCCGCACGACATCGTCGACGAGCGCCAGTTCTACAAGTAAAGGAGGAAGGAGAGGGAGACGAGGAGGACGGAGCGAGCCGCCTATCGGGAGGACAAGCGTGCGCGGAAGCAGGCCACTCAATTGAAACTGAAGCTACGGGAAACGTCGGGGTGAGACTTCGTAGACGAGCGGTATGCTGACGCCTACATTAATACGTCCGAGGAGAACATTACCGAGTCAGAGTCGGAAAGCGACGAGTAGTTGATCTTTTCTTTTATCTATGTACGCTAGAACTATCTATGTATCCTTTTTCTATCAGAAAAATGGCCGGCGGCGTCGGCGACGAAACAGGCGGGCGAGGGTGTGCGCCACCGACCAGCGGGCCCGGGGTGGAGAGAGGGCGAGCGCGCGCGCGTCCGTCTTGTGTCCGCGCCGACGCAAATCTGGCTCAAAAATAGGCCGGGAATGGGTCGGTAGGCGGACAAAAGCGGACGCGCGTCTGTTTGGGTCGGCCCGTTGGGCCTACTTTTCTGTCCACGCCGACCCAAACGGACGGCGGCGGAAGAAATGGGCGACCCAATTGGAGTTGCTCTAACTGACCGTGGGAAAAGGAAAGATGGATGGCTGCAAGTTGTGATTGTCGTACGTGGAAATGCATTATGCACGGAGAGCTTCACAAAGACGGTATGTATAATACAGCTGACAAGTGGCTTTCACGACAGCGGTGAACTTTAGGGGGGCGGGTTTGCTAAGCTCGGCTACAGATGCTCTTAGGACCCGGATTCGCCCGTCAGGTCACATCAGCGATGTGGCAATGATATAGGACCAAGCCATATGGCGGTCCAATCTTCACGTATGAAAGGTGAATTTGAGAAAGAACATAAGGGTAAATCGAGAAGAACATGAGGGAAACACACAAATCAACACGCGGAGATGCAATAAAAGATATATATTTTTGACCGTAATGGCAGGTGTTCTGCCTTTTCATTAAGAGAGGGAAAACTGTACAACGAACTGGAGAATTAGCCGGGGAAGCAAAACATTAAGCCAGAGATGCAACATGCATCCTGGCGAGAACAAAAGGTACTACTCCCATGCCTCCTTCAGGAGGCCTAATTCATCCCTAATCAAAGAACATACCCCCGCGGCAGAGCGCCGTTAATTCTGAAAGATCCGCCTGTTGCGCTCGTTCCATAGGTTCCAAGCCACGTACACAGCCCCCGTGCACTCGTCCAGCACTACTCCTTTTTTCTTTAGTTTGAACGTCTTATCCCACCAGGTGTTGATAGAGGAGGATTGGAGCGCAGCCATCGCAGCATTACTGAACTGATTGGCCATCAGGTGCCAAACCTCCTTCGCAAATGGACAACCCAGGATGATGTGGTTAGCCGATTCAAGGACCTGATCACAGGCGCAACAAGTGGCCTGATGCTCCCATCCTCTACGCTGCAAGCGATCAGCCCTCTAGAGGCGGTTCTGGATAAGGGTCCAGATGAAGAATTGGACCTTAGATTCAGCCTTCACCTTCCACACTTTTAATAAGCGCGACATTGGAATACGCACAATGAATTGCTGCTCATATGCAGACTTGGCTGAGTGGTTCCCATTGGCCGAGATGTTCCAAGTGATCTTATCCTCCTTTCCATTTAAGCTGAATTGCTGAACTTTATGCCAAAGAGAAACAAATGACTACAGCAGTTCAGCCGAGGCCATGCGCTGCAGCCCCTTCATCCATCCACCCTCGCGAATAGCATCAACCACAGAAATCATCTTGTGTTTCGCCATGTTATAGAGGCCAGGTGCCAATTCCATAGGTGCCACTCCATCCATCCAACGATCAGTCCAGAAAGTGGTTCTCGCTCCATTTCCAATAGTAATTTTTGTGCATGACTGAAAGAGTTGTTGATCAGCAGCGTCACACTGTGTAGGAGTCCCCTTCCACGGTCTATCCATAGCGTCCCACTCAAACCAGGGCCAGCGCAGCCGCAGGGCCGTGCTGAAGGCGGAAATGTTTTTGATGCCTAGTCCTCCAACTGCTTTGGGTGCGTAGATTCGCTTCCAATTTACCAAACATTTGCCCCCATGAGCTTCCTCGTCGGCATTCCACAGAAAGTTTCTTCTTAGTTTGTCAAAAAAATAATTATGAACCACTTGTAAGGTGCAAAGATCGTCAGAAAGAAGGTCACCGTGCTAGTGACCACCGAATTGATGAGAGCCAGCCTCCCGGTTCGTTGCAAAAGCCTTCCTTTCCAAGCTCTTAACATAGCAGCCCTTTTATCCAAGTAAGGTTGAAGGTCAATCCGTCTAAGTTTGCGGGTGGAGAGGGGAAGGCCCAAATAAGTGCACGGAAAGGAGCCTCCCGGCCCTCCAAACTGTTGGACCAGCTCAGAGATATTCAGATCATTGCACTATATTGGGTAGATAACACATTTGGCTTCATTAATCTTTAACCCAGAGATCTCTCCAAACGTTGAGAGAATACGCTTCACGACAGCAAGGGTTCACAAAAATTTCAGCGTCATCCGCATAGAAACTTGTGCGAAGACGGGCAGCCCTCATTGGAATGGGGGAGAGGATGCTTTCCTCAGTAGCCCTATGAAACAACCGCTGCAATGGGTCCAAAGCGAGTATGAATAACATTGGGGACAGGGGGTCGCCTTGCCTCAAACCCTTCTTGTGCAGAAAAGGAACACCAGGGGCTCCGCTGAGCAAAACCCGAGAGGAAGTCGAAGCCAGCAGAATACTAATCATGTCTCTCCAATGCTGCCCGAAACCAAATGCTTCCAACACCTCCAACAAATAAGGCCAACTAACCGAATCAAACGCTTTGGCAATATCCAACTTAAGAAATAGGAGCGGCTTCTTCCTCTTGATCGCACTTTGGACATACATGAAATTATCTTGGATGCATCTTCCCCTTATGAAAGCGCTCTGGCTATGGGAAATCAGACGGTGTAATTCCGGTCCAAGACGATTCGCAAGCACCTTGCAAACAAGCTTGGCAACACTATGCATAAGGCTTACGGGGCGGTAGTCTCCAACTCTGGTTGCGTCCACTCTCTTAGGCAAAAGCACTATCAAGGCAGAATTCAATAGCTTCCATTGATCCCCGCGCAGCTGGTGAAACTGCTTGAGGGCATTGCAGATGTCGTCAGAGATCAAGGGTCAGAATGTCTTAAAGAAACCCTCGATGAAACCGTCCGGTCCCGGAGCCTTTTCACCATATAAATCAAATACAACCTTCTTGATTTCGTCTGCACTGAACAGAGAATCCTGGTGCTGCAGATTGAAGGACGGGATGCCCAATGCCTCCCAATTCATCCTGAGCGTTGGAGTAGCAGCAGTTCCAAGCAAGGAGTTGAAGTGGTCAAAAATGAGCTTGGCCTTATCCCCATGATCCGAAACCTCCCCCGAAGGTGAAGCCAATTTAGAAATAAAATTCTTCCTTCTGCGCCCATTAGCCTTAAGGAGAAAAAACTTGCAGTTTGCATCTGCCAGTCTGATCTTGGTAAGCCACAACCTTTGTCTCCATTGAGCCCGCTCCACAGCAGCAATGCCCAACAGCCTGGCTTTGAGAAATCTACGCAACTCCCATTCAGCCTCCCAGAGCTCCCGCTCCTCCATGGCAAGATCAAGGTTGAAGATAACCTCGTTAGCAATGTTGAACGCCAAATTATTATCAGCTTGATGATCCTTGTCCCACTTCTTGTGTGCTGCAGCAGTTCTTGAGAGCTTAGTGTGTAGGGATCACAATGCATCGTTGGAACGCACCGGCTTAGCCCAAGCTGACCAAATTACTTCCTGAACTCCCCTAGCACTCAGCCAGAAGGACTCAAATCTGAACCCCTTGTATCGATGGACCTCCATCTTCTTCAGGATTAGCGGACAGTGATCGGAAATAGCCGTGGAAGCCGGTGAGAGGTTATATTGAGGATAGGAATTCTCCCACTCATTAGATACCAGGATCCTATCAATCCGAGTTAGAGTTGAGTGCTCTCTCTCATTTGACCAAGTGAATCTTCTTCCCGACAGCGGCATGTCCTTCATCTCCAACGCATCAATCAAATCCTGAACCTGGCCATCATGCGCAGATTGACATTGGTGTTGTTCTTCTCACGGGTGTGGCAAATTAGGTTAAAATCACCCAAG